CCGTGGCTGCCCCGCCGGTCCCCAGCACTCCTCCTCTGTGCAGGATACCTGAGAAGGGAACGTCCCGCAGCAGGGTGGGCCCACAGCCCCTCCACAGGGACAGCCAGCCGTCCTGGGCCACTGCGGACTGAATGCAGACGCGCAGCTCGCGGTAGCTCAACTGGCGGGACTGCATCTTGGTCCGGATGAGCTCCAAGGGGCTGATCACCGTCACCGCGCCCACTGAGGGAGGGAATCAGAGCATCAGCCACAGCGAGGGCAGGGCCAACGCGCCACCACGGAGCAGCCAGGCCCCTCTTGCCCCCAGGGCAGTTCTCAGCACGGGGACGGCTGGGCTGCAGGAGCTAGGGGCCTGGCACGGCTCCGTCTGCTGGAATCGCGTTACAGCAGCAGCGGGAGGCTCGTCCAAGCAGGAGGATCCAGAGGGCGAATGATGCAGCCGCCCCAGCCCGCTGTGCAGTAGGGGGCCAGTCCCAGCCTTCCCGCCGTGGGGAGAGGGGGAAACGCAAGCCCCGGGCAGGGCTGTGCGTGAGGTCACGCGGGGAGCCGGCCACAGAGCAGGAAACTGACCCAGGGACGCGCTCGCCACGCCACAGGGCCCAGGGGTTCACCGATTCCCAGGCCAAAAGGGGCCACTGCGATCGACTCGTCTGCCCCCCTGGAGAGCAGAGTCCCAGAGCGGAGCTTTTAGAAAACAAGCCTAGTCTACAAACCGCCAGGGACAGCAAAGCCACCTCCTTCCCCCCTCCGGGCCCACTGGGCCAATGGTGAACGACCCGGGCTGCTAGCAAACAGGGCAGGTCGTGGGCCAGGCGGAACGAGTCGTTACCCTGGGCCAGGGGAGGGGGGGCTGGAAGATGCATGGACCCTGAGCCCAGAGCAGAGTGCTACTCACGCCTGGCGATGGCCCCAGCCACCAAGGGGATGTGGGCCCCTTGGCTGCCCATCCGGGAGCGCAGATAATCCCGCAGCTGGTCGTAGCTGGTGAAATAGATCACAGTGGCGGGCACCGCCATCACCCTGCCAAGGACAGGGGCCCGTTAGCATCACCTGCCAACTGGGGAGGAGGGTCCGATCGCCCCAGGCATGACCCCCCGGGGCCCCACATCCCTTGACGCTGCCCCTTCCCGGTCTCCAGCCAAGCCGTGGGGCCACGCATTGAGCCCACGCGAAGGGGGGCTCTGCTCATCTCTAAAGGCTCCGTGTGCACTGAGGAGGCTCAACGCCGCATGCTCCATGCAGAAGGGAAGAGGCAAAGCTGGGGCAGTGTCAGGCGGTCCCCAGGCATGACCCCCCGGGGCCCCACATCCCTTGACGCTGCCCCTTCCCGGTCTCCAGCCAAGCCGTGGGGCCACGCATTGAGCCCACGCGAAGGGGGGCTCTGCTCATCTCTAAAGGCTCCGTGTGCACTGAGGAGGCTCAACGCCGCATGCTCCATGCAGAAGGGAAGAGGCAAAGCTGGGGCAGTGTCAGGCGGTGACTGGCCAGAGGGGGGCTCCCGGCTGACCTCTCTGAGCCAAGGAGGGCTGAAGACGGTTAGGACGGGAGCCGAGTTCCAGACTGGCCGGGGACCCCAGAGCCGGGTGCTGGCGTGGGCGTTGCTGTGATGGACTCTGTCTAGGGCCTGCAAGGATCGTTCTGAACGGTTTCTGTTTCACCAGCCCCGGGCGGCCTCCGGGGGAATTACTATGGAGCCGGAGGAAACTGAGGCAGGCTTCTGCGTGGCCAGCGGGGCACAGCCTCTTACAGAGGGGGGAGGCAGATCGTCTTTGCTCAGCGCAGGACACCCTCCTCCCCCCTGCCCCCAGGACTGCCGGGCCCCTGCCCAGAGCTGC